GCTAAAAAGAAACAGGTAAAATTAATTTTAATAATGCATTTTCTCAAACCTATTAACAGTATGTATTAGTGAGATATTTTATATTTTTTGGTACTAAGTCTTCGAAAGCCATTGTATATTTTATACTTATAGCATATCTCATTTCAAGTGTTTAATAGACACATGTAGCTAATAGCTACCGTGTTGGACACCAGGACTCCACAGTTTTATAGCATGGAATCTGGTACCCTGAGTTTGAATCCTGCCATTGTATTTCTTAACTGTGTAAATGTGGAGCAGTGACCTCTTTATGCCTGAGCTTCCTGATACATAAAATGAGAAAACTAACAGTATCTACCTCAAAGGGTATGGGAATTAAATAAGATAATATATGTAAAGCATGTAATTTGGAATCTGGTAAATAGTGCAAAATAAAGGTGTATTTTAATGAATTCCATCACACTTTTATTGTTATTAAATAGCACTCACCTCTTAGTTTCCATGTCTTCTCGTTCCTGAAAGTATTTGATTATCCCCACCTAAACATTCTCACTTAAAATTCTAAACCAATCACTAACTAGCAAAGAATGACTGATGAGGTAGGAGGAAAAAGGTTATGAGTGGGAGCCATATATGGTGGCTCACGCCTGTAAGCCTAGCACTCTGGGAGGCCAAGGTAGGAGGATCTCTTGAGCTCAGGAGTTTGAGACTAGACCAAGCAAGAGGGAGACCCCCATCTCTACAAAAAATAGAAAAATTAGCCGGACATGGTGGTACACACCTGTAGTCCCAGCAATTTGGGAGGCTGAGGCAGGAGGATTGCTTGAGTCCAGGAATTTGAGGTTGCAGTGAGCTATGATGATGCCACTGCACTCTACCTGTGGTGACAGAGCGAGACTCTGTCTCAAAAAAAAAAAAGGTTATGAGTAGTATATGCTTGGCCTTTGTGCACAACTGCTACTGTTGGTATTCCCTACAGGGTGCAGATAAATTATTTTCAATTTGCTATTACATGTAACACATCACATCTTTTGACTTTTGAACCTAGCATCATTATAGGTGCTTACTCAATCAGGGAATAAAATTCATGTCTAATAATATAATAATTTACTGCTTCATTGCCAACATTCAAATACAGAATGCGTTTATTGTCTTACCCCTTCTTCTCTCCCCCTTGGAAGCTCTGATTGAACCTTTTCTATTCTTAGCCCTTTGGGGCCAAAATATATAGCCAGTATTGGTTTTTTTTTCTTTGCTTCTATTAAACCCTTACAGAAAAGTGCACAAATAAAACGTACAGTGATTTATCACACATTCCTGTGTAACTGTCATGTAGATCAAAACATATAATATTGCCAACTCCACAGGTCTTCTTTTACCCCCTCCCAATCAATAGCCCTCCCACTCGCCCCCAGAGCTAACCACTGTCCTGATACTCATGCTAATTATTATAATACTTTCTAGCTTTTCTTTATAGTTTTACCAACTAAATGTGTAGCCCTGATCACTGTAGTTTAATTTTTACTGTTTTTGAATTTTGTATGAATGAAATCATGAATATAATTCTTTGTTCAAGATATTTCGAGATTCATCCATGTTCTTACAAGTAGCAGCAATTCATTCATTTTCACTGTTTTATGGTATTTCATAATATGACTATACTACAGTTTGTATATTCTATGGCAGATGGACAGTTATTTTTTTTTTCCAGTTTGGGGCTATTATAAACAGTATTCTTATGAACATTCTTTTTTTTTTTTTTTTTTTGAGACAGAGTCTTGCTCCGTTGCCCATGCTCGAGTGCCGTGGCGTCAGCCTAGCTCACAGCAACCTCACACTCCTGGGCTCAAGCGAGCCTCCTGCCTCAGC